TGTAAGTCTTTTCTGAACCCTTTCAAGTTTCACAACATTTTTCCTGTAGCAGACTTCAATCAAATCATCCTTTAACTTCTAAATTTGAAACAAAACAGGCCATATTTGTATAATTTCTCCTCATTACTTTAACCCCTGAAATCCAAGTGTCGTTCTTGTAAACATTTATTGTGCTCCCTTCGAGGCCAAAATATCCATCCTAAGGTGTGGTGCCCAGATCTACTCAGTACTCCAAGTCTAACCAGGGTTTTGTATAGCTGCTGCAGCAGAAATTCTGTGTCCTTGTGACTTCAGTCCTCGAGATATAAAGAATTCCACTAGTCTTGATTACTTTCTGCACCTGTTCATGACATTTCAAAGGTTGATGCACCTGAACCCCCAAGTTTCTTGAGACATCCACTGTATTCATTGTATCTGCTGTGTATTACATGAAGGATATGCCGTTTGATTGAATTTCATAAGAGTTAATTTTTTTTGCCAGATGCAACAGATGACAAACAGATAAGTGATGAACTTCAGACAGTGACTGTAGCAGCGATAGCAGACAACAGTGGCTACGTTTTGCACCCACCCTCTTCGTTAACTTTGCCCAAAAAGACCTCACTCAGGTGTGTATGAACCAAAATTTGACTGGAAAAGTTAACAAAAAATTGGGTGGCCTTGAGAACATGATGTTTTGGTTACAAGTTAGGTATTGTTCAATAAGAGGGAAATGCAGAAAAGCAAAAGCCCCTTGAATAATGAGTGAGGTGGAAAGCATGATGACGCAGGCAAAGAGCCATTTTGATGTGTGTTAGATGAATTTTTCAAATAAGAATCAAGTCAAATACAATAAGTTGAAAAAAGGTGAGGAAAATAAGACAGTCAAGTGGAATACAAGGACAGAATTTCATAAAAGGAAATCCTGTAAATAGTCTGTGGCTAGTAAAAGTTCGGGTGGTGTCTGTTAAGGACAAAGAAGTGATGCATTGCACTGAGGTTCAGGGCATGTTAGGAATACTTAGTAAGTGCAAAGAGGATGTTGACAAAATAGTGGTAGATGTGAAGGTGGCAGTAAAAATGGATGGAATGAAAATGATGTGCAAAGATGCACTGGAAAAGGTGGCTACATTAAGACTGCAAAAAGTTGCCTGCTTCAAATTGTTTTCATCCCAGGTCCCTAGAAAGTCTTTTCATAATCCTCCAATTGTTCCTAGGTGGGAACAGTGGCAGAGAATTGGAAAGTGACAGATGTGACATTCTTTTTTTTCTGGCCAGTTGATTTAACATCAGAGGTGGCTAAGTTTTAAAAATCAGTCAGAAAAAAAGCTATGTAGGAACTCTTGCAAGCAGCTGCCCTGTTAATTGTCTCAATAGCAGTAAATCAAAGAAAATTTTTAAAAAGAATGCTAGAGCCAAAACCTAATTTTCTTTGACACTGATGAAGTAGCTTAAAAATTACAAGTTTATCAAAGTCTTAAACTATTTACCACTGTAATTGAAGGCAGGCTCTATCTTGATTCTAATTTTACCAATTTAAAAGAAAACCTTAGCAATTTTACTCTGAAGCATTATCTCAGAAATTCAAGGTATAATGCTGGATGTGCTAACAAGCTGAATGGCCTCCTTTCTGGAAGCATCATTACTTTTTACAACAGCTCTACATCCAGGTATAAAAATTAAATGAGGGTGTACCTGTCTTGACAATTATACACAGACAGAAGGTATAAGAGTAGGAATAGGCATCTGATTCATTGAGCTTCCTCTGCCATTTAACATAATCATGGCTGATCTGTTTGTAAACTCAGCTCCACCTCCCTGCCTACCTCTGATAGTCATTCACTCCTTTCTTACCAATAAATGAGCTACTGTTGCCTCAACAATATTCAAAGGCTCTGCTTCCAAAGAGGGACATTTAAGGAAGTGTTCTAAAGGCTGCAGTGCTACTCACAGGAATCATGTAACTAAGTGCTTTAAATATCGTCCTTTTTTTGTGTTTCAGAATGGTTGAAGATAATTTTCCTGTCCCACTACAGCCACTGCCAAACAACACCCCTGCCTGGGCCCGACGACTCCGAAGCTGTGAGGTTGATTAGCACTTGCATATCTGTTTTATTTGTGGATATTGCTACATATTGATTTTAATTTCAGTAATGTTTACTTTCAAGTACTTTTTGTTATGATCAATATATACTCTTGAGGGGATCAAATAAGCTGCATTTCATTGCAAGATCAAATCTAAAATTGCAATTAAAAGTGTAAGTACTGCTCAGGAGAGTACAGATTTTCATTAACAGCTCAGTACCACAAGTAAAGCAAACAACAAAAGTGATATAAGAGAATGTAATTTATTCATAAAAATAAATTTGAAAAGTGGAAAAATTCTGAGAAAAGTTTAATGTTTTAGGAGAGACTTATTCTCTTTCAGATACTTTATGTTCCTCTAGCATTTTCTGTTTTTAATACAGATTGACAAAATTCATTTCATGTTTCTGCATATTCTGTACCAAGGGAGAAGAGCACTCTGCTCTTCACTAAAAATTGATTCTGAAATTTTGTTGCTGGATTTGGATACTGCTCTGGCCCTCGTTGACCATGCACTATCTGTAATTAGCCTGAAGTGTGGTTCTGAACCCCTGTTGTGGGACGAGCAACAGTGAGGCAATATTATCATTTTCCCTATCCCTCATTTAAAAGCAATCTGACAGTTTATGCTGTTATATAAAGGTGCTTCACAACTAAAGTGGATAGTTAAATATGTGATGTACATTGGTTTCACCATGCAATTAGAAATTTCGATGCAAACCGGAAGCATAATATTTTATAAAATTGATGCTGGGTTGTCAGTATGATTATAGTTATCTGTAGTTTTTGTCTTTGTGGTTTATCTTCCCAAACAGTCCCTGTGTGATCATAGGGCTTAAACTACTGTCACTCAAGCTAGGCAAACTGAAAGAGAGCATTTCATGGCAGTCACAAGAATACAGTTGAGGGTGAAGATTTTTGGGCGTCTGTTTTATTCGTTCAAAATATCTGACCTCCTTTGTAATGGCATTTCAAGATTGGTGCCTCCCCATGATGGTATATTATGTTGTTTGAGAAGAGCTTTTTGATACCGGTCCTTAACTTGCCTTTGACCAGTTTGGACTTGTTGTTCTGTCCTGTGGGCATGACTTAAATCAAAATAATGCTAAAGATTAATCTCATCTACTGTATTTAGCATTTTATATCGCTGTAAGGAGCCCTCCCATCATTTAATTGCAGAGCACTATTTAGATTATTCTACTGCGCACAATTTCAAAATTTGCAGATCACAGAGCACTTGAAAGCTCCTGGCAAAAGAATTGAAGATGAGATAAGGAAACAATTTTTACTCAGCAAACAATTAGGATTGGATTGCACTGTTTGAGTGTTTAGTGGAGACAGATTCAGTCACAGTTTTCAAAAGAAAATTTGCTAAGTATTTGAAGACCAAGAAAAAAAAAAAATTGGACTATGGGCAAAGTGAGGACAGGGCAGCGGGATCAGCCAAGTTGCTGTTGTGAGATGAAGAATTGCTTCCCTTTCTGCTTTCTATGATTATTGTAGCTCAGTGATTAGAACTGAATATAAAATGCAGAAGTATAAACTGAGTAGAACAACTCACTGCCTGATATCATCAAACTGCAACTTTGAAGTTAGTGATGATGGAAGGAGTGGAGGCCAACAAGAAGAAAACATGGAGCATAGAAAAACTCAAAACATTAACGCTATATCTCTCTCTTTCTGTTAGATGCTGCCAGACCTGCTGAGTTTCTCCAGCACTCTCTACATTTGTCTTATGTAATTGTCTTAATTGCTCACTAATGTGTTCATTATTTCAGAAAATTGGAGACTCCTATCGTGGGTATTGTGAGAGTGAAACTGAATTGGAAAATGTATTAACTGTTCACAAGCAGCAAACACAAAGTGTTTGGGGAACACGACAGTCTCCAAGCCCTGCTAAACCTGCCACTCGGCTGATGTGGAAATCTCAATATGTACCATATGACGGAATCCCATTCGTCAATGCAGGTCAGGATAGGCTACTTGTTTGGAAATAATTGCTTTCCGCTAGAGAGATTTTGTTGACAGTTATTGGGTAACTAAATATGTGTAGAATTTGTTTTAATCCTCCTGGCCCACTTAATGTATTTTCACTCACTTTACTGGAATTCTTCCTGTTCCATCTTCGTTCGTATACCTAAACAGTAGAGATCTTGGCTTTTGCCCATGTTAGCTTTGACTTAGAGTACAACCAGAGGGCAGTTTGTATAATCCTGTAGGAAATTGTTTAGCTCATTGTGATTGTGCCGGTTCTTTGCACGAGCTGTCATCTGTAAATGTTTACTTTTCAAATAGTTGCCTACTTCCCCATAAAACTTATGTATGCTACTTCCATAACTGTTTTTGGTATGTTCATATAATTTACATGAAAAAGAAGTTACCTATACCTTTCCATCATTCAGTTGGGCCTGATTTTAACCAACTCACCCCTTCAGTGAAATTCAGTTTTTATTTTAACCTTATCAAAAGTACTTATTTCAAATGATCCTATCAGATTTCATTTAAATCTTTTTATTCTGCTTTGGGGCAATAAAAGGTCCAAATTTCATAATTGAAGCTTCTCCAGGATTATTCTAGTGAATCTCTTCCATACTTTTGCCATCCTTACTAAAGTGGGATGCGTAGACTTAATTGATGCAATTTTTGTTTATCACAATCTAAATTTCTTTTAGTAGGTTTAACATTACTGTTTGCATTACACATTAGCACCTATATTTTAAATGTGTATTTATTTAATTAGCTTTACTACTGTCCATTAAAAATGTCTGTCTGGACCCCTGGGTGTCTTTGCTATTTAATCCCTTAAAATTTGCCATTTTGTGTGAATTTCTTCTCATTTTTCTAAATTCCAAAACACATCATCTCATTTTTCTCAAAAGTAAGCATCATCTGAAGTATGATTGCTTAGTTTACTGTCCTCACTATGTCCCCTCTTGAGTTGCTCAGAGGTAACCTCACTCCCTAGTTAAGCCACTTACATGGGAGCTTGTGAGAAGTTTTGAAAATCAAACATGCATGGTTTGTTGCAGTTTGGCCACACGTATCTTGACTTTCGCAAACAACTGTCCTTACTTAATATTACATCCTTCCAAGTAAGTATTTGATTAAGACTATTGCTAGTATTAGGCTGACTAGTCTATAGTTGCTACTTATCCCTTCTTGAGTGAAAGTATTAAGTTCTAGTCTTGTAGCAGAATTGCTACATTGATAAATGTTTAAAAAGAAATTGATGCCAGAGCCACTCTTGCTTTCTTTCTGACTTCGTCATTCTAAGATGTGAGCCTTTTTTTTTTTGAAATGTAATGTTCCTAATTGAAATCTGGATATGGTGTTGAATTTTGTTTGCTGATATTATTGTTCCTTGGCCTACAGATGAGACTGACGCTGCAATAATTTGCAAAATGTAAAGTGTGTTCCTTTGGCACAGTATTTGAAAGCTGTTTTCATTCAATCACTCTATAGTATTAAAATATTAGTGCTTAATTTTTTGTGACAGCATTTTACAGTTTGCTAAATGTCCAGTGGTATTGTAGTTATGATATTTAACTAATAACCAAATCGTTCAAATCTCATCAGGACAAGTTGTGAAATTGAAATTAGCAAAGTAGAAAAAATGATCATAGAATTTACTGGCATTTGGTTAAAAACCAAAATGCTTCACAGGCTATTTCGTTTTTAAGAAGAAGTTAGATAAGTACCTGTGGGAGAAGGGAATGAAAACAGAAAATGTTGGAAGTGTTCAGCAGGTCTGGCAGGTTCTGTGAAGAGGGAAACAGTTAATGTTACAAGTCTGTGATCTTTCACAAGAGCACCTAGACCTAAAATATTAATTGTTGCTTTCTGTATAGATGTTGCCAAACCTGAGTGTTTCTGGAACTTTCTGCTTTTATTTCAGGTTTCCAGCCTTTGTAATCCCTTGGATTGGAACAACATTTTGATGCAATGTGTGAAGGGGTTGGGTGCCTCCTCTAAAGGCTTTTAACATTGCTGTCAATCCTTTCTGTAACCCCTGGGGGGCAATATTTTTATGATAAAGCTTGGGCAAGTGTTACACCTTCATGTTTGTGCTTTCTGGCAACACTAATTTTAAGCCAGCTGTTGTTTTCAGTTTACAGATTTTAGGAGAGTGTAATTTGGCTCACCATGTACATATGCTCCTTACAGGAAGCAGGGCTATTGTCATGGAGTGCCAATTTGGACCAAGGCGCAAAGGAGTTCAACCTAAGAAAATAGAACAAGAGAGCATCTCAAATCAGTATTATAAGGCAACCTGTGCTGCACGGTAAGAATCCTGTTTGAATAATACAAATAAATATATATAGTTTAACAAAAACAGAAGTCGCTGGAAAAGCTCAGTGGGTCAGGCAGCATTTATAAAGAGAAATCAAAGTTAAAGTTTCGGGTCCGGTGACCCTTCCTTAGAAGGCTGCCCTGCTGTTCTGAGGAAGGGTCGCTGGACCTGAAAAGTTAACTCTGATTTCTTTTCACAGATGCTACCAGATCTGCTGAGCTTTTCCAGCAACTTCTGTTTTTGTTTCTGATTTACAGCATCTCCAGTTCTTTTGGTTTTTTAATATTGTCTGAAACGACAACTTTTGTGGACTGCTGGAATCTACTTAAATGCAGTGTAGCACAAAGACTGGAAATAGCTTGCTACATTCACTGCTTTTATTGAGTATGTCAAATTGAATATTATCCCAACGTTGCTAACTTATCAGACTGCTGAGCCAATATCCAGTGCTGGCTGAGCAGAAATTTTCTCCAGTTAAATTTTGGGAGACAGAAGATATTGTTTGCAGTCCTAGCTCCCAACTCTATTGCTGGGTTAGCAGCTTCATCCCTCTTCCTCTCCTTGTCTCTCTCGTGTGATCTCTCTTTTTGTTTTTCTCTCTCTCTCTCTCTCTCTCTCTGCCACCCATCTGAGCTTGAACCAGTCTGTTCATGATTTTATGGATGCTTATGACCTTGAGATGAACATCTGACTGCATATTCGCTAAGATCATGTTTTTCACCTCCATAACATCAGCACTCGAGCTGCTGTCACAGCTCATACGCTGCTGATTCATGTATTTTCTGCCTTTAGACTTGACATTTGCAGCGCATCTTTGACTGTGATCTTGCTTTCTATCCTCTATAAGTGTGAGGTTGCCCAAAACCATGCTTCAGCTGTCTTGATTCATACCAGCCTCCTTCACCTGGCTGGCTTCCATTGGCTCCTGGTCAAGAAATATGTTGATTTTTAAAATTCTTAAATCAGGAGCGGCTTATTTGGTAATGGTCACTTCTGAGTCACAAGATTCTGAGTTCGAGCCCTATTCCACAGCTTCATCCGCAAGTAGTTCTTCTTGTCCTTAGAATGGAGACAACCGTGCAAGGCTGTGTTTACTAATGTTCCTCATTGCTTTGAGAATCTGTTTGTGGAAAGCTGCCTGAATCTCACCAGCCCTTGTGGCTCTTGTAAAATAGGCAATTCTGAGATATTAATCCAGCCATAATGATGGTGTTGTACATTCAAGTTAAGATTGTGAGTGACATGGAGGGGACCTTGGGAGAATTATAGTTCCATGACATTTATTGAGTAACCAAAGTGTAATGGTTATTTTACTGAAGCTGCAACTCAAAGATCACAAATTCAAATCCCACCTGGCAGATTGTAAATTTGACTTCATAGAAGGGAACTTTTAATGACTATCCTGTTTTGAAATTCCAGTCATAAATTATGTGGTAGATTCTTATTTCCCATTAAATTGACCTAACCAGCGATTCACTTGTAAATAATTAATGCAAAGTTACAATAATAAATTTGTTAATTGCTTGCAAGAGGGTCAAGTTGAGGTTTTTCAACTTGTCTTCAATGAATCGATCCAACTGTCATGGAGCCAAGTTTGTAGAGTGTTGAAAAGTTGCCTGTCTCTCATGCTTTTTTGGATATTTGTTTATCACGAATGCTGCTACATTAATGAATCAAAGCCGTGGCATACTTTGCAATGTTCTCGTGACAATTCTCTCACCAAATTTTTTTCTGATTATCTGGTCGAGTGAACTTCATCTGTAGTTGAATAGATCATACGGTGAAACTTGCTAGAGCATCATCCTGTGTTTTATTTTTACATTGCCCAAGTATTTAAATTTCTTGCAACACCTAGTTTCAGATTTCTGAATTTTAAGAACTGAAATTTAATAAGTTAAATAATTTGATATCCAAATACTCTCTTAGACAAACATATTTAGGTGTACAATTGATTGAGGGGGGCGGTGGGGGGAAGAGAAATAATCAGTGTTTCAAAGTTGATTGAAGGTTCACGCCACATTCAAAGGTCTAGGCAGAACAGCCCTTTAAAGTTTATTTAGTTGTATTAAAAATGTTTACAAACATCAACCTCATATGGTGAGCTAATGATCTAAACCTAACCAAGCACATAATAAGGCCATCCTTCCACTGAAGCCACAATTTAAGGCGCAAGATGAAAACTGATATGTCATTTGAAGAACCTTTGCACAACACCAGAAGGATGTATACATGCTTTCTCAATTTCGAAAATATTTAAGAGACTTTGTCCCCTGTTAATTCTGTTCACAACCCCTGATAACTTTATTGTGCAGTAATAGTGTTCTATCCTGGACCAGGAGGCCTGGAATCAAGTCCTACCTGCCCCAGAGGTGTAAAATCATAGAATCCCTACAGTTTGGAAACAAGCCCTTTGGCCCAAAAAATCCACACCGAACATCAGACCATCCCACCCAGACCCATTCCCCTGTAACTGACCTAATCTACACATCCCTGAACACTATGGGCAATTTAGTATGGCCAGTTTACCTAACCTGAACGTCTTTGGACTGTGGGAGGAAACAGGAGGAAACCCATGCAGACACAGGGAGAATGTGCAAACTCCGCACAGACAGTCGCCCGAGGGTGGAATCGAACCCAGGTTGCTGGCACTGTGAGGCAGCAGTGCTAACCATTGAGTCACCGTGCCGCCTCAAATGTACTAACATCTCTGATCAGGTTGATTACAAAAGTAGGTAAATTGTTTTAAAGAAAAATAAAAACTAAGACCGTTTTAAAGAACTGTTGTTACTATTTCAGAATGCAACTTATCTGGTTTTTTTTTATTATGCTCCAGGATCTACATTAAAAAAGTGCGGAAATTTCCAGAATACAGGGTTCCCACAGATCCTAAGATCGATAAGAAGATTATTCGACAAGAACAGGAAAAGGCCTTCAATATGTTGAAGAAAAATGGATTTGATGTAGGAGGAGTTGTCAGGTAGAAATTTTGCATGTGTGGAAGAGAATTGGTCTATGATTAGTTTACTGGAATTTTCATTCATAGCCATCCGTTACTTCATTTGACTCATCATTTATTTTGTTAAACCCTTGATTGTTATTTAAAGTCTTCTGATATCATTATGTAATTCATATGTATATGAGGGCTTTAAGGACTAAAAAAAAAAGTTGTTTGGGGGAAGATTTTAACTTTCAATTGCAATTTTCTAAAATGAGGGGCAGGGTTTTACTGTGGACTTCTGAACCCTGCAGTCAGGCTCAAATGAGGACAGATGCCTACACGTTGTGGAAAACAAACATCTGTTGCGCTTTTCTCTGTTATAACCCTTAAGTGACCAAAAGGCAGGCTTACCATCCAATTAAGGATGGCTGGTGGGCCCTTTAGCTGGGGAATCTAATAGGCCTTCCAGCTTGAAAGTAGCAACAAGTTGCCATGGTGAATAAGTGAGGGAGAAGACTCCCCCAGATGGAGCTGCCCTTTCTCCAACTTCTTCCACACTTAAAATAAATACCCTTTGCAACTAGGCCAGCACTATGGTGGTCAGTCTCTCCTCATTGTGACCATTGCTGCTGCTGCAGCACCTAAGCTGGCAGGAGACCGCTAGGCCTGCTTGATGCGCCAACTTGAAAATCCTAGTCAGTCTCAATTTACAGGTGTCTGTCGACCTTCAGTGGCTTAATAGACTACAAGCTGCTTGCCGGTAGGTTGCTCTATCACCTGCAGGGGAATGGCCTGGAGTGCTGTGGGACCAGAGACTGGTGGTGCAAAATTCTGTATATCTCCCTTCTCCACTACTGCCAGCACCACCACTAACAATTCAGACTAAAAAGCCTTACTTGGGATTCTAGGCAAAAGGTAAGGTTTTCATCCCATGTGTATTTTTCATTGGGTACTGTAGTTAAGGGCTGAACTATTAATCCATAGGCCCAGGTTAATGTTCTGGGGACATGGGTTCAAATTGCACCATTGACATGAGCTTAAATTCAGTTAATGAACTTGAGATGAAAGCTAGTCTCGGTTTTGTGATCATCATTGTCCAAACCTACCCTTCTGATTCGTTAATGTCCTTTAGGAAAAGTAATCTGTCCCTCTGGCCTTCATGTGACTCCAGACCCACAGAAATATGTTTGATTTAACTGGCCTCTGAAACGGCCTAGTAAATTACTCCATTCAAGAGCAGTTGGGAATGGATAACGAATGTTGGCCTTGAACACAAAGAGAAGTTGCTGGAAAACCTCAAGGTCTGGCAGCATCTGTGAAGAAGAAAATTCAGAGTTAACATTTTAGGTCTGGTGACACTTGCTCAGAACTGTTGGCCTTGCTTGCGCTGCCGATGTCCCATAATTTTTCTTTAGAAAAAAGGCCTTGATTAATGACCCCCACAGCTGAGCTCAAATTTCACTCTAGTGACTTGGAAATTTAAATTCAGCAATTTATATAGAAACTAGAATGGAATGGTGAGTTGTGTCTAGAATACTGGAAATTGACGAACTGTTGTGAAAACCATTCTGGTTGCTAATGTCCTTTTAAGGAAGAAAAGCTGCCATCTGTACACAATCTGACCTATATCTGATTCCAGAGCCACGGCAATATGATTCGACTCCAACATTAATGAACCAAGAAAAAAACTATCATTATCCCAGGGGTGTAGCTAAGGTGAATGGCAGGTGTCTTTTCCTTGGGATGGGGAATTTCAAGACTAGGAGGAATATTTTGAAGGTGAGAGGAGAAAGATCTAAAAAAGACATATGGGGCAATTTTTTTTTTAACACAGTGGTTCGTGTGTGGAATGAACTTCAAGAGGAAGTGATACATTTGGATAAGTACATGAATTAGAAATGTTTAGACGGATATTGGCCAAGCGCAGGCAAGTGGGACTAGTTTAGTTTGGCAAAATGGTTGGCATGGACTGGTTGGACTGAAGGGTCTGTTTCCATGTTGTTCGAGTTTATGACTCAATGACTCAACAACTATACCATTCAATAATAGTTGGTTAAAGTTATGCGTTAACACTTCTCTTTAGGTCATGCATTTCTCAGTAACGTTTTTGCAAATATGTTCCTTCAACTCATTTGCCACTATTTGACAGTCTCTTAAGTACACCAAATAGTGTTATGTTCCCATATTGTTTGTTAACTTCAAATCCTTGATTTGACCCTTCGAGGGTTATTTCTAGCAGTGTAATGCAACTTAACTGACTTTCCTAACCCCTTCTTTCCTAAATCCCTTATGCCAATGACTACTAAACATCCAATTCTCTCTTGGGTCAGGTCTCATTTATCATCAGTCCATCATATTTGTACCTGCAGCTCATCAAATCATATTTGTGCATTTACATGCTTGCACACTGTAATCTTGAAGCTCTTTGTAGTTTTCATGATATCTCCTAAATATGTTTTTTAACTGTTTTCCCCCGGTCCTCTGCACACTTGGGTGTCTACTTGTTATACTATATAATAGTGCCCAGCTCCTGATTGAACGAATTTAAATCGCCCCAATAGCACTAATTAACTTGCCCACTAAGATATTGACACCACTTCTGTGTTTGTGCAACCAGTCATGCTTGAACACAAAACTTGTTCCAATATTCCAGGAATCCAAATCCCACTTGCCTGTGCCATGACTGTAACAATGCAGTGACCTGTCATGTCCTCTGACTTTTATTCTGCATGGCCTGTTTCATTTGGAGTAATCCAACAACTGCTATTTTTAAAAATATTTTCAAAATTGCTTCATGGAGCATAAGAAACCTTTGCTTAGGTTAGAGATGGGAACTATTACATTTAATCATATTTGAGTCCACATCTTTGTATCACAAGGGTCATATTCTCTTAAGAATTTGAAAAGATCACACTCCTCTTTTCCAAATGATTGCAATTGTCAATCTCTTTCAGTCTGTAGGTGAGCTGATGAAATTATTTAAGATTTATAGGGACTCTAACATGGGGCTGATCGCACTGGGTGTTGTTCCCAGAATTCTGTACTGACCACTGATGGGTTTTACCCACAGTGTTATTGACAATGTTCATGTTGCCACAGGTGGTATGTACAGTTACCCACACCACAAGCTCACCAGTACCATGATCAAGATGGTTCTTATTTACCAACGCCTCCACCACCACCCCCACCATCATTTGTTTCTGTTGAAGAGGACGATGTTGGAATGATGGATGAAAATGGGATATTGCCTTCGCGTCTACACCCACGTGTTACTGAGAAGATTAGAGAACTGGTCGCTCAGGGAATTGACCAGGTGTACATGGTCCGGAAGCAGTTAAGGTTTGTTTTTGGTGTACACAAAGTTTTGCTTCAAAAAGAAAATGTATTTATAAATCAGTGCAATAATGCAAAGTTTTATGTCACCACATAATGTAAAGAATTCCATGTTAATAACTATCCGGAGTTATACAGAAGACTTGTATTATTAAATGGAAGTGGCAGCTTATTTTCCATAGTCACAATACAAAAGGCAGCTGAACCAGCTTTAAGATTTTCAGATAAATGACTTGTGAATTGTCATTTTTTGCTGTTATATTTTTAATCATTCTTTTATATTTTACCTTCAGTAGAAGTCTAGGGTTCCTAGGCATGCTTAGGAATTGAATTTATAATTTATGTTAAAGTGGATTTTATTGTGAACAAGATTTATTTTTAAAGGCACATGCATGGAAATGTGATTCAAAATGTTTACATTTTGTTTCCTGATGATTTTCATTTACATAAAGTTCTGATGCCATTTGAGTGGTGGAGGAAGCGATTGGAAGAAAGTAATGACCCTTGCATTGTGAGAAATATGGATTAAAAGCCACGCAACTGATTTTTTAAAAAAGTCATTCATGGGACATCAGCATCCCTGCAAGATCAACGTTTTTTGCACGTTCCTAGTTGTCCTTGAGAAAGTGATGCTGAGCCAACATCATCCAATCCCTGTTGCTCATGTCTTCTATGTAATTGAGGAGGGAATTCTAGGATTAGGACTCTCTGACAAATAACACATTCAGGAGAAAAAAAAATCAGAGTTAACAATTATTGGCTACTCTGAAATGAACTGTTTCCTCACAATCGGTTATGTTTTGTCCACCAACTGTACTAAAATCAAAACAGGAGAATTCATAATCAGTCAAATAAATGCACATCCAGCCAGTTATTATCCAATTTGTTAGTTGTTAATAATTTTGAAATATTGTTCACTTTTATTTGGCTATAGGCAGCCTATTGAACCTAAGATGGTGTTCTATTTGATCATGATTACATTTGTTGTGTCAGGATGAACTGTGTTTTTCACTTTAGGTCTTGTCGACTTGGTATTTGTCACCACTGTGGACAGACTGTAATGTTGTTTCATTATCTGATGTTGAAGTATTGAACTGTCTTATTTGATGCAATAATCTGGGCTGTGTTTGATCATCTGTTTTTCTTGCAGAAAGTTTGTGGAAAGAGAATTATTTAAACCTGATGATGTTCCTGAAAGACACAATCTCTCCTTCTTTCCAACTGTCAATGACATCAAAAACCACATCCACGAAGCACAATTAGCACTACAGAGAGGCGAGCTGGAGTATATATCCGGATCAATGACTGCAGCGGTAAGATATATGTTTTTTTTTATTCAGTGTGCCGTTAACTATTTGACCTGGAGCAGGGGAATGGGTGGGTGTGACGGTCTTCTGTGCTCCATTTGTGTCACCGGCAGCAGACTTGTACTTCTGCATTAGACCTGAGAATTTTTATCACTGGTTATAGGTCTTTTTGGCTAATTAATGCCCTCATTTAATTTGTTGAGGTGTTTTGTTTAGTTCTCACGTTTTTTCACTTAAGCAAAATATTGTTTGAAACTATTTTATGGCTGTTGTACAGGCGTACAGCAGCATCTATAATTTGCATTTAGGTAGTTAAAACATACAATTGCTTCAATGTCCATACTCTACTGCTGTGATGTCACCTCCATGTTTATGAATTGGGGATTGAGTTGTTGACTGTTCCATGGTTAGTTCTGGATGTCCACAGGAGCATTTTGAATTTTCCATTCAAGGACCATGTTTTCACGCCTGCTATTGTTTGGTTTAGGGTTGTCTGTGACATGCACAACACAGCAAAACCAGGGACCTTTTGGTGTTGATTCTTACAGAAAGTATTTGTTTGAGATACTTTTTCTCCAATAAGCCTGGCTTAGTGGAGGATGATAGCGTCATGTCAAATAGATGAGGGAAGCAACAGCGCGGGCATTTAAAGTGTTGGATTTGACTTGAGGATTCCAGTGACATACCAAATTAGTGTTTGCTTGGATTGTGATTTCAGATAAACCTGTTGGACTATAACCTGGTGTTGTGTGATTTTTGACTTTGTCCACCCCAGTCCAACACTGGCACTTCCACATCTTCACTTGGATGATATCAACCAAGAATAAAAACAAACTTCTATTTGTACAGTATCTTTAATGTGAGTACCAATGGAAGTACCTTTAGAAATGTCTTGAAGGAAGGACTGCCTTCAAGGAGGAAGAGAGGTGCGAAGGGAATTCCAGAGCTTAGGGAACAATGTTGGAATAATTAAAATTGAGAATATTCAAAAGGCCAAAATTAGATGAGTGCAGATACCTCAGAGGATTGTGAGGTTGGAAGAGGTAATAGAGATAGGGAGTGGCAAGACGTGGAGAGACCTAAAAATAAGAAAATTTAAAATCGAGGCTTGTCAAGCTACCAGTCAATTATGAGTCATGTGGCAATGCAGGAGCAGAGTTTGCATATTATCAAGATTATTACAGTAGGCAGAATATGGGAATCCAGTCAAGAAAGAATAAAGATAGGGCTTTTGTGGTGCAATAGTGGTGTCCCTATCTCTGAACTAGGAGAACTGGATTCAAGTACCACTTGCTCTAGAGGTGTATAATAACATCTCTGAACTGGTTGATTAGAAAATATCTAGAAGTAACAAAGGCATGAATGAGTGTTGTAACAGGATATGAGTTGAGGCAAAGGTGAATCGGACAATGTTACCTGGAAAATCCTAGTTATGGTATAGATATGTGGTCAGATACTCTATCTTGGGGTGAAATTATCATCGAGGTTTCAAACAGTCTGATCAGCCTCAGATAGTTATCAGGGAGAGGAATAGAATTTGTATTAAGGGTATAGTATTTGTAATAGGGACTGAAGTAAATGACTTCAGTCTTTTCAATATTTAATTGGATGAAATGCCTCGTTCAGGACTAAATGTCTCATACGTTTTCAACAGCAGAGAATCAAGAAAGGGGGTGTTGAGAGAGAGCTGGGTATGGTCAGTGTACTTGTAAAAGCTAACTCTGTTTTTAGGGGATGCCACTGAGATGTCATCCTTAGAAGGAAGGTCAGGGATTGATCTTGGGTTATACCAGATGTAATAGAATTTGTGATAATAGAATAAGAAAATATACTGACTGCAATTTGATGAATAATGATTGAAGCAATTGACTGCAGTCCCACTCAGTTTGGCTCAGGTGGCCTTTGGAGGAGGATGGCATGGTCAACTGTTAAAGGCTGCAGAGAAGTTATAAATGTTGAGGATGGTTAGTTTGGTTGAGAATAGTGCTATGGCAGGTCTATGAAAGATGGTTGTGGACTATCCGGTATTCAATGACTCTGGGAAAGAGAGGCAGTTTGGAAATTAGGTAGTAATTGCAATGATCATGGGTTTTTTTTTAATTTGGGAGGAGTAGTGACCGATTTAAAAAATAGGGTGACAACACTTGACAACTGTTAACAATATTGGCCAGGCGGTAAAGTTGGGTGGTTGCATTACTGGGGATTGTGTTGATGTAGAAGGAGGTGCAACTAATGGACAAAATGATGACAGAAGGCATGAAGAGAAATTGTAAAGAAAGATAGAAGTTCAGGGCTAATTGGGGGAGCTTTAGGTGATGTTTGGTCCAGTGGACTGGTGGAAGGAGAGGAAATAGCAGTACCAAGTTATTGTATTGTCTTTATTTTCGTGGCAGTTAACTAACCTGTTCAGGCGGGTTGTTGGAGTTAGAGGAGAAGGCAGGAAGGATTTAAAAAAGATTGTTTTCGACGAGGGAATACTAGAAGTAAGAAATTATCTATGCTTTCCAGGATGATCCTGAAATAAATGAAAGCAATGTCAGCCGATGAAAGCAATGTTTCCTAATGTTTCATCTGATCCAGCCAGACCTAACAGTGAATGGTGAACCAAACTGTCTGTCATCAAATCAAGCATGCTACTTTTGGCCCATTCCAGTCTAATGGAGTACATAGGGATGTTGCTGATATCTAAAGCACAGATGATACTCCCCAGCTTTTGCTGGGCAGTTTCTGGACCTGGTTGGTCTTCATTATCTTCATTGGAGTGTCTCGCTTTTTCAGATGGTCCTGGAATGTTAGTGCTGTTATTCAAACTTCACTCTGAAATATTTCTGAATGGGGGTACTGTACAATATTGCAATGGAAGGTCAGTTTCAGGATGCATTTAGTGTTCTTCCTGTCAAGGTGGAATGCAATAACTGTGTTTTTGAGGGCATTGAAATGTCTGCTTCTGTTACTAGTATAGAGTCATCTACCTGTGCGAATTTCTGCAAAGTTGTTCTGTGATGTCTTTCAAAGGCATTGAAGATCATCTGTGTAGTTACTGAGCCTTGTGGCAGTTTGGTCTTCAGGAACCATAGAACGTAGAACAGTACAGCACAGTACAGCCCTTCGGCCCACGATGTTGTGCCAAACTTTTACCTGAAACCTAAGGTCTATCTAACCTCCACCGCTTCCTTATACTATCATCCATATGCCTATCTAATAGCTGCTTAAATGCCCCTAATGAGGCCGACTCCACTACCTGCTCTGGCAATGCATTCCACGCCCCTACCACACTCTGAGTAAAGAACCTACCTCTGACGTCTCCCCGATATCTACCTCCTTTCACTTTAAAACTATGTCCCCTCGTAAAAGCTACCTCCACTTTAGGAAAAAGTCTGTGGCTGTCTACTCTATCTATACCTCTGATCATTTTGTACATTTTGGTCATTTTGGTGACCTGATTTTCAAATGAATATGCAACCATCTACCCAGTGTTGTCCATAGCTGGCATAGTGTTTTGAGGGACGATGTCTATGAGCTTGAGTTCTTAAAGCTCAATACGTTGTAGCCTGATAGTTGGTTTATAGATTCTGCAGTCTTTTTCTGGAATCTGGCTTCAGTACCAAAACTTTGTAGAAGAAACTAGTGATGTCAGCTTAGATCATGGCCCATCCAAACTCCCCAAATCAATCGGACCCTGAATAATTCCGATGATGTTCCAAGCAGTTGACTTAAAAGTCTGCACTGATTGCTGAGGTAATTCTGAATTTAAGAAAACCATATTTGTCTGCCCTTATTATTTTCCCAACATTACATTCTGAATGATTGCAATGGTAAAAAGGAAATGATGTCTGCTGGAGAATTGTCAAGGTGTTGGGTACAAGAAAGATTTGCAATAATAATGTGAAAAATATGGGTTACCCCTGTTAACAGAGGATGAACATTTGTGACCCCTTTTCATGTGGGGGATGACCTAATAGAAATATTCAAAATTCTAAAAAGTTTTACTCGCTTCAACAGTTTCTGTTTGTGACAAGGAACAAAATTAGGAGCTGCCGATATAAAATAATCATTAAGAAGTCAAATAGGAAATTAAGAAGAAAGCTTTCTGTCCAGAGTGTAATAGAAATTCTTACTACTGGGAATGGTTGAATAGAAGATTGCAGATAAGATTGAGGGAGAAAGGGAATGGAGGAGTATGCTGACAAAATCAGTTCAGATTAAGTGGGCAAAGGCTCAACTGGATCATAATTGCAAACCAGAACTGGTTGGGCTATATATGCTGTACAATACCATGAATACATTTTGCACAAAAACCTCAGGATATGGTTTAATGAAGCACTTCCATACTGTCACGCAAGACAGAATCAGACACAAATGGGAAACATTTTCAAGGTTTTATCCTCTCTCAGATGAATCCAGCAGTTGCTGGTATGATGCTAATTGAGAGATCACTGTTTTTCTGTTCTTGTTTGTCTCATTCCCTAAAAATAAAAATCAGATTGCATCATATAAATCTACAGCTGAGAGTGGCTGAAACCCTGATGCTGACCAGAAAACAGTGTTTAATTTTTAAAAGTAGAAAATATCCAATGCACTCTTGAAGATGCCAATATGATTTTTCATCCTTACTGTGTTAGTTGAACTCTGGTGGAATAGGGCAATGCAGTTGATATCACTGATGTTGAGCTTGGGAGGATGAGATTAAGTCAGAGCTCCTGTCCCTACCCTTAGTTTATTAATCTGTGCTGAGTATATATGTGAAGAGTTGGGTGAGCACATAATCAACTGCATTTCTCTCAAAAGCATTAGCTTGCAGTGGTAATTTGACTGTGGTTCACACATGCAGAATGTCCATTTGAACAACATATTACCGGTCTGTTGCCACCATGGAAACACATACTAGCAAAGAATTTAATGCTTTCAGAAGAAGGGAGAAATTTTAAGAAAACAAACGAATATCTGAGGAATGCATTTTAAAGCGACTCATTTAAGTATTCTTTCAACTTCATATCCTCAACTATCAAGGATTAATTTTTGTATGTGGTTACAATTGGTAAACTGCATATCTGTTTGATGAAATCTTTGTCAGTATTAGTAGCAGTCAGCATCAATCATTGGAAGTCACTTAGGCCAGCTGCCTTTTTACCCAAATAAGTAAGATGACATTCTCTTCTGTTATAGGCAAGAGGCAGAGAAGTAGGATATGAAAATGGGGAGCAGTGGCCATTCCAGTAAATTCCTCAGGCCTCGATGTAAGGGTTCAAATCGACTGCTGACTTGATTATATACAGTTTGGTGAACAGAGTACAAGGGTTACAGCTAGGGATCCAGCCTGTAACGCGGATGAGCAAGGATCCCATATTGGACCTAGTGGATATGTCTGCCAAAACTTTGCCCATCCCACATAGGATGCAACAGTGATAACGTAGGAGAGCATGACTCAGGTAATGGTTTGTAGCATTACACGTAGACATATCTTGTTCTCCAGATTTTCAAAAATGTCTTGTTACACTTGATAGGCAGCCAAACCTGGCAGTCACCCAGCAGGTCAAATAGCAACATAAATGTACAAAATACCTTTAACATATTCAAACACCCAATGAAATTCACAGGCATATCAGGCAAAACTTGACATGAAGCGACATTTTTGAAAACAAAAGCCGAAGTGTGATTGAAGAAGTAGATTTTAAGGTGTACTTTTAGAGGAATGTTGAGAAGTGGGAAAAGTTAGTGGGGGACTAATTCTAAAATTTAGGTGGAAGCAGCAGGTAGTAACCTTCCTTCCTGAATACCATTAGTTTAGTGAGAGGACACTTAAGAGTCATCTACATTGCTATGCATTTGAAGTCTCATATTGCCAACGCAGATGAGACTTTTTTTTTTCTTCTAAAGGACTCTGACAATCTGGTAGAATTATGGTCACGATTTGTAATGTATCATATTCCAGATTCTGTTTGTTTAATTGAATATGAATTCTTCAGGCACTATAGTGAAATTTGAACTCCAGCACCCTCATCATTAGTCTAGGCCTCATGATTTGAACAGAGATGAGATTTTAAAATTGATGCATTGTTCGACATGAGTGAACACTTTGTGAATTTGAATATGGATCTGAGATGAGCTTAAGTTTGCAGTGGATGTAAGTTGGGAAGTTGTCTAGGAGTGTATTTGAGGTGCAGGCAGAAAAACATACAGTTCCTTTGTTTAGCTGTGTTTGGAGCATTAGATGCAGGTCTACAGAATTTAAAAAAAATATACATTCATGGGTTGTAAGCGTCTCTGGTATGGCCAGCATTTTTTTTTTTGCCCATTCCTAATTTCCATTCAGAAGGTGTGATTCAAGCGGCTGAGGTACTCCCACAGCCCTGTTAGAAGGGAGTTCTAGTAATTTGACCAAATGATAGTGGCTGAGATAACATTGGCCCAATTGTAATGTCACCATAAATCCTAGACTTGAACAAAATGACTGCAGTCTGAATCCTTGACCTTTTGCACTTTGCCAAGCTAACAGTTTTCTACTTTCTGGCTGATTTCTAGAAGTGGTTCCCTTTCTTAGACATGAACTTTCAAGCATTTGAAAATAACAACGATCAATGTCCATAGAATCTATCCCAAATAGTTGTGTTGCAGTTGAACACAATAACCACTTGTGTTTCTCACTAACTAATAGCCAAGTAATCTCCTAAAATGGGCACAATGCAGAAAGTTACCAATTGTGGGAGATGCTTCTCCAATCCCCAAAGACAATCGTAACAAGTTCCGTGAGGCACAAAATCCAATACTCTTCAATGGATTGAAAATATACTGACAGTTTTCTAAACATGTCAGCTGAATTTGTAAGTATTCCTAGAAACAACCTTAATGAGAATGGCACCCAATCAGGCCACCTTATTGTAAAGAGTATATTTGTGAATATAACATTATCTATACTCTATTAGTACAATACCAAGTTATTCACCAAGCTATTGCATAGCTGCATGACGGGGGGAAAAAAGCAAGGAAACAAAATTGTGACAACTGATCTGTGGAAATTTTTTTTTTAAAATCTTACCACTAGGAAGTGCGTGAGATTTACATAAACTTAATTCACTCTTGGATCTTGTGTGCACTTTATCCTCCTCTTCGTTTTGTGACCACTGACTGAAATGATGCTTGACATAATGCTGTTGGATTACTGTTTGGATTAACAAAATAACAGGATTAGCGGAGTAGTGTGGATAACAATAATTGGCATTCCAGGTTTTGAAAGATTAATATTTTACAGTGCAAGATTTTCTTTAACAAATTTTGGTGAATTATACAGCTATGATCTGATGTCTTGTCTGTTGTTTTTGGTGATTCAGATGAATTGTAAATATCCCCCGTTATTTGAACATTCCATGCACGCACACAAATAGTCTCCCTATTTATCTCATTGATGGTTGTAGAATCTTTCTATGTGTGACTATGATATTTGACTATGTAAATATTTGAGTGTTCTAATTAATTGTAAAGTAATTGTATGTCATGGACAAACCACTTGCCCCTAGATGCAAGATTAAGATATAAAACAGTTAGCAAACTTATGCTCTCATTGTGATCTGTACATGAGCATCAATGGTTGAGTCATTGACTTCTGTTCTGCCTCCTATCTATTTCTGTTTAACTTGCAAAGATTATTTTTCCAGCTGCAATGGACGGCTTCCAATGGGAGTCTTCAGACAGAGACAGTCACAGTCACACTTGCATCCACACAAGGAGATGGTAAGTGGTGGGACAAATTTTATATGGCATTGTAGTCTCAAACTTATTGTTGAATAAAACTTGACCATAACTACCATGACCTCTATTAAAATGCAAGACTATAGCAAGAATAAAAGAGCTATTATCATTGAGATTGTGTTTCTTTCATAATATCTCCATTGAGAGTAGTAGCATATTTCCTCTTAAGTAAAAAAGTTAAACGTTAAATTAAAAAAATCCCACTCTAGAAGTTTGAACACCTAATCCATACTCCTAATTTTATGCAATATTGAGGGAGTACTGTTCTGTAAACTGAGATTCCCTTCTGCCCTCTTGAGTAAAAGTACTGTTCAAAGACCAGCAAGGAAATCTTCCACAATATCCTGTCCAACAGTCATTCTCTTCACCAGTAACAGTAAAATAGTATTTGTTCATTATCTCATCTTATGCTTTGACCCTTATTACATATAAATTGACTGTTGCAATTCTGACATTAGAACAATGATCACAAAGTACTTTAGCTTTGGTGCGTCTTGAAATCACAAAAGACGATATATAATGCAAATTCTTTCTTTTTCCAAATGATTGCAGTGCTGCAGATTCTCTGACAAAGTGGGTAGACAGAGAAGTATACCTCTTCATGATACTGTAAAAATTAATTGTAATATGTAAAGAAACTATAGGTTAGTTTACCATGCAGAGGTATGTCTTGGGGAATCCTGTGATGCCCTGGAGTGACACTTCTATTAGGAAGTGATTTAAATTATGTCATCTTAAAAGCATGAATGAATTTCTGATGCAATTAACTTGCACATCCATTTAAGTATTTTTAATCTGAGGAAATAATACTTACCATACAAATGTATGCAGTCTGAACTGTGCTCGTATGTTGTCTTTCCATCCTAATATAAATGAACTCCGCACTTTGGTAGAAAAGTTGATATCTCAAGACAAAGTTTATACATCGCCTCTCACTTCCACAAAAACAAAGGAACTTTAAGAACATAACAAACTGAACTGAAATTTAAATTCACAATGTTGTCTGCAGAGATCAGATGAAAAACAAATGTATTTGCTCTTAATTGATTAGTTCTGCTTCTGTCACATCTACATTCAGTGTTGCTGGAGTAGAAATTGCCATATAAGATAGTATATACAAAATGCACTCCCTTAATATATTACCTTTAGTGGAGCTTATTGAGATTTTACCCAGCAATGTTACTGCAGAAAGCTAACCAGAGAATGCAAGCCATTTCAGTTAGGTATCCTAAAGTGTTCCATGGATTTGAATAGCTATGTCACAGACTGTTTAATTGTATCTTATGCATGATGAGAGGCAGTTGCTGTCATTGGCTTTCAATGTGCATTTGGTGAGACCCTTGTCGTGATTGTTGCAGACTTAGGAACAAGCTAGTTTGGAAGAAATTTGCAGCTTAAAACATGTTTTTTAACAGTTAGAAGTGGTAAAAGGAGTATGCATTTTCTCTTGTGTTGTCATTCCACAGAAAGTACTACAGCTGATTCAATCATCACAAAGGTGGAGTCAGCCCAGATGGTGAATACACTATCTCCAGAGACAAACCAACTTTCACCTTCACTTACCTCACTGCAACCAAAGCTTTTTGCACAGTTACAGGTTAGACCAATAGTTGTTCTTCTAAAATAAACACAGATTTTCACCTTTCCTGGTCTGATTTTCATTTCTTCAATAACGTTCCTTTTTTGCAGGTTCTAGCTTCAAAGCTTACTTTCAGAACTCATTACTAGCATTCTAATTCTTGAGACTATTTACTGCTGAAACCTGTCATCCGTGCTTTGGTTACATTCAAATTGTACTATTCCAATGCTCTCCTGATTTGCAGTCCCAAGTGCTTTAAGCATAATATTATCCAGAACTCTGCTCTACGTATCGTACCTCTTAACAAGTCTTGATTATCTATCACACTGCACTTGGTGACCTACATTGGTTCCAAGTCCACTGAAGCCTCAAACTTCAAATACTGAATCTTACGTTCAGAAGTCTCTGAGGCATTGCTCGTCCCTGTTTCTGTAATTTCTTTCTTCCTTCCTTAGAACCTTCTGACTACTTTGTTCTTCCATCTGCAAATTCTTTTGCAAACTTCTCTTCCTTTAACCCACCATTGAAAATCTTTTCAACTTTCTGGACCCTAAGTTCTGGAATTCCCAGCCTAAATTGCTGTTTTTCTTCTCTTTTATCCTTTAAGACACTACTGAAAATAAGAATTTGGTCATTTCTAACTTTTCATCCTTTGACTCAGCATTTGCTTTTGTCAGAACCACTGAGAGTGGCTTGCTTTGTTGAATACACGATGTAAGTGCAAATTGTTGTTTTTGTATGTGTGCTTTAAAATGTCAGCTTTTTTGTATATATTATTGTATATAGTTTTGACATCTGTACAGTTACAATTTTTTCTCCTCCTTTACTGAACCTTCGCCTTGGGGTTGTCAACATCCCAGGAAAGAAAATTAGAGATCAGTAACGCGGCAAGTTTACGCATTATAAATCAGCAAACAATATATCATATACATATTAAAATTTGTTTCTAAAGTACTTAATTAAAAATGTTATTAAATGTACTTGTAGCTTTCAATCAAGCTATCCATATCCCTTGGTGGTAGAAGATACTTTGAAGCCTTTCTCTATCCCTCATTCAACCCTTAAAACAAGACTGTTTGCCAATACTCTCAATAACTAGTCCCTCTGCACTCCCCTCTTTTCCCCTTCATATAATAGTCAGTCTTTCTTCCGCCGTAAGCATCCACCATTCACACTAATCAGCCTGTTTTCTACCACTGCTGCCGCCTGCTTCCACTCGCATTGTGATCAGCCTCTCCTTCATCTCTACCTTACCCCCCACGCACAGCAATCCCCTTCCAAAAAAAGCCACAAAAAGTAATTAGTGCCTTGCTCATCACCATATACCCATGATTTTACCACTGCTGCAAACTCCAATTTTGGATTTACATGCCAGTGACAGTGAAGCAGAGTCGCCAGCCAAATATAAGGTGCCTGTACAACAAACAGAAAAGTTTGAAGCTGCCACTCACTTTCATGGCTCTGCTGCATAAACTCCCAGATTTTTCTGCACTCAGACAGTCATTGAATGGCCCTTGCCTACCTTTGTCTGTGCCATGCTGGTTCTCAGACATCCTGGGCCTATTCAGCACTTGCTTTGAGAAACTCTTCGTAAGGTATTGGGTACTTTGGACTTGCCACCTTTCCGTTTGTTGTTTGGTGATCAATGCAATGGGTTTGGAGCTGTCTCTCCAGTGTCTGCTATCTAATACCTGGCAGGTAGGGGAACCTGCAACCCCAAATACTGTTTCTGCAGATTGATTCCAAAGTTTGGAATCAACTGCCCTAAGCTGTTTAGGCAACTTGCACCCACATAATAGCATTTATAGTTTTTTTTTTGTTCACGTGATTTTCCTCTCTTCTGCTGAAGACTATCCTTGATATTCTTTTCTGCTATTGTGAAGAACAGAATTCTACCAATTTACCTCTGTATAGAAAAGTTCTGTTTTTTTTCTTTGTAAGTTAATAGGTTTTGGCTCACCCTTTCAGCTTATATATAAAGCATAACATAAGAAATAGGAGCAGGAGTCGACTATTCAGTTCATCGAGCCTGTTCCACCATTCTATACAATCATGGCTGAGCTGCCTCAACTCCACCTTCCTGCTCACCCTTGTATCCCATGATTTGTTGAGCAACCAGAAGTCTAAACATCTTAACTGTATACGATAATGGAGCATCCATAATGGAATTCAGAAAGTTCACAACCCTCTGAGTGATAAAAGTGGCTCTCCATATCTCGGTCTGAAATAATTGATCTCTTACCCTGGTACTCTGTCCATGTGTCCTAGTTTTCCTGGCAGGGAAAACAGCCTCTGACTCCTGTGTCATATCCCTTCAGAAACATATGTTTCAGTGAGATTGTTTTTCATTTATCTAAATTTCAGAGATTATAGGCCCAATTTGCACAGCCTGTCATTATAGGATGACATTCATATCCCATGAATCTAGTGAATCTTGATTGTGCCTCAGTCAACCCCAGCCAAAGCAAGAACTTTCCTAAATGTGAATGTGATTATGTCCTGGTAACCACCTTTCTCCTTAAGAATGCCTCTATTATATGATTGAATTTCTTTCAAAACATTGGTTATTTTCTGTAATTCATTTCCTGCTGTTTGCAAATTGTTTTCTTTCTTTCTCTCAAGGGCTTACAGTTACAGCCAGCCTTTGCTTCTGATGCAGCCCAAGCAGTTGTTACATTGAACTCCCATCAACCAGGCATCAGCAGTCCTTCCGCAGTGCCAGAAACCAGCAGCCCTACTACACAGCAGCAGCAGGTTTTCAGTCAAGCACACTTTCTGCAACTCAGCAGCTCATTGTCGGAATGTGACTCTGCAGCTTCCACCTTGGTTGGTGTGTCAGTATCTGAGCAGAATATGGTCAGTATGGGACAGCTGGTGACAGTAGGAGCATCTGTTGGTGGAGACACAGGCGTTGATAGAGGAGTTCATCAGATATTGCTTGGATCTGGGCAAACCATCCCTGTACAGATCATGGAAACCTCATCACCTTCCACAGTTGGTAAGTTCATTTGTTTTACTTGTTGCTGAAATTTGGTGTTCAAATTTTAATACAAAAGCAAAATTCTGGATCTTAACTGAAAACAGAAAATAATGGAAATACGCAGCAGGTCAAACACATTGTGGACAGAACAACAAAGTTTTATGTATTAACTTGATAACCTTTCGTGGTAACTGGGAAATGTTAAGAATACAAGTGATTTTAACAAGCATCATCCATCATTTCAAGCCACCATATTGCCATTCCCTCTCTCTACCCTCACCCCAACTACCCCGTGCCATAGTCTTTGCTGAACTCCGACTTTTGGATTTGATGTGGTCAATGTAGTTGTTTAGTTTATTCAGTACTTTTGGATTGATACCACACCACAAACAGGAAGTTCAAAAAATGTTCTACATTTATTTTGTGGATATTAATGAGCATCTTCTTTCATTTCAATCCATAGTAATGCTCTTTGCTTTACTTTTCTTTTACCTCCAATGTTACTGTAGCTCAGGGAAGCCGTATCAGCCACATCAAAGAGGAATCTGAAGATGGGAGTCTAGCTGTAGCCAGGACCTGCATGCCTGAGATAGCTGGACCAGGAGACTGAAGATCTTCATCCACTTCATGTATACAACTAAAGAAACTGGTGGTTCCCAATGATTAAGCATCCTGGTGCGGGGAGATTCCTGAGCTATCATGGAATATACAAGAGGTCCTGGTGGCAGACAAAGACCGGGTTGAAGTTTGCAGTACAGTAATGGAAATGGGTTTGTATGCTTTGAAAGGAGAGAACTTTTTTCATTTTTGCCACATGCATGAACCTTCTGCTCAGCCTGCTTTGTAAGAATGAACATTAAGGGCATTTGAACGTATTAACAATAATTAACTGCTCAGAGCTGCTTAATGAAATATTCTCAGTTTTACCGTCTACCTTGTATGTATCCGTGAAAAACACATTGCCAGCTGGTGTTGGAGCCATGCCAGCAACATCAGGATCATCATAAGTATACATTTTACTGCAAGGCTGCTGCCACTTGGTATTATCTATTGATTTTTCTGGTGCTGGTACCAGTTCTGATGAAAATACATGAATTAAAAGCATGCTGGATCCGATCAGACTAAATATTTATTCACAAATGTACGGAAACAGTGGAAAATGTGGAGTGATTTGTACTGGCTTTGGTGCCAGAAACGGAGCCATGTTTGAGGTCTCATGTTATCTTCAGAACTGCAGAGAGGAAGTCACTCAGGATTTTCCGGACATACAGCATGCAGAGCTTGAACATGCAATTAGGTTTGAATTCTGAGCTCTAAGCCTTGGAAGTTCAGTACCAGAAAGTATTCTTCTGAAACCTGACATGAGTGGACGTTTGTTACCAACTTATTTGCTGGGTTCCGAGCAGCAGCAGTCACTACTATGTATTGGAATGTTTGCTCGTTACTTAAAGTAGCAAGAACCCAGAGATGCAAAATTCCAATTAAAAAAGATTTTTATTTCTTTAACTCTTATTCAAAAAGATGTACATTGTATTTGAAGATTAACTCTCCCTCTTGGACTGTTGGGAGGGGAAAGACAATTCTGGGAGAATTGTATTGCTCTTACCGAGTAAGCCAGTGAAATTGTGATTTGAGATTTTTTTTAATG